GGTTGGAAAGGAAAAAAAATAAGAAAACAAAAATCATACATATTAGCCTCTTCATATTGTAAAATTACAAATTGCTATTGTTATTTTCCCATAAAACATTTCATATTTGAACAATTAAACAATAAAACCTGGAATCTTTACCCAGTTACTACTTTAATCCATCTAATGCAAGTTGTATATAGAGATGATTCTTTTCTTTCCAGAATACAAATTGTCATATTTTTTCCACATAAACTGACACTCACAGATTTGTAGTTTCTTATTCTTATATCATTGATAATGATAATCAATAAAATTCTTTGAATTATTTATAAGGCTATCCTCATTGTCAAATTATTTAGCTCTATATTCAATTGGAATTCAGTTATTCCAAAACTCTACAATAACTTTTAGCCATTAACACTGCAGTTCTAAACGTGTATATAATTTTCTTCTTTCCTCCTTCTGTTTCCTCTGTCTCTTATTCAAAGGCTTTCATAGATTTACACAGGGAATAAAAAATAAAAAGCTATGCTGCCTGGCCAGTGGTTGAGTGTCGACGCATGAACCAGGAGGTCATGGTTTGATTCCCAGTCAGGGCACATGCCCAGGTTTGGGGCTCAATCCCCAGTAGGGCGCATGCAGGAGGCAGCAGATCAATGTTGATGTTTCTATCTCTCTCTCTCCCTCTCCTTTCCTCTCTCTCTCTCTGAAAATCAATAAAAAAATACTATTTAAAAAAAGAATATTAACATTTTGAAAATAGTCTCTAAAAATAGTGAACAGAGCTTGGGGCAAGACATCTTCCCACAATGAAAACTGAAAAAGCATAACATAACCCAAAGCTCTCTGCTCCCCCGTCCACCTTAAGTACCGTAACGCTTGGGATGGAATACAATGAATAAAAGCATGTCACATGGAGGCATGTGAGGTCTAGGTTGGCGTTTATTGCAAAACAAGCCAATCTAATTCAGCAAATGCTGACACAAAACACTGAGCTGTGTCCTGCAGTGCATGCAGAAGTGAGCAAGATGGAATCCTTACTTTTGACGCATTTATAATCTGGCACTGGTGCTAGCAAGGAAAAAAAATTCTTTTAGAAGATAAAATATGCTAATACTGTATAATATGCCAGCATTTTTAAGTGAACTTTCTGTAGAAAAAATTGCACCTGCCAAAGAAAACAGGCTGGGGGTGGGGGGCTGTGGGGGGCAGGCGTGGACGCATAGATACACGGGAAGCATGGACAATAGATCCACATAGAACAACAAAAATGACAACAGAAACAATAGCAATAAAAACTCAAGGGAAAAGGAAAGCTAGTTAGTGTAAGGCCAGATGATAATGCCACATGATGAACTAGTGGGAGTCATAGGAGGGAAATCATAAATACCTTCAGGCACCTGAAATAGGCATGGGTATGATGATGAGATGTCTAAAGTCCAAGAAGAGGAAATGGGTATGGGAGCCTCTATATTCCCTAGAATTTTCTATGGAGCCTGTTCCACAGGTAACATCTAGCATAAAACTAACCTTTTTCTACCCTAAACCCTTCTAAGACATAAGGGAGACAGATGTTCAATACAAACCTTAACCTCCCAGAAGTTACAACACACACCTTAGCAAAATTGCTAGCCCAAGAGCTAATATCTACCCAACAGATAAAAAGGCACAAAAGTCATCAGTACTACTGAGTTTTTCAATAAGGGGCCATAGTTTTTCCTCAGCCTGTTTACCAATTTCATGCCAGAGAGTGAAGATTTGATATGAAAATGATTTAATAGAGAAAAAAGAAGACGGTTCAACAGATTATTTCTCAAATCTAGATAAGCACCAGAACCAGCTGAGCTGAAAGTTAAAAGTACTTATCCCTGCCCCCCACACACACACCCTGGGTGATTCTGGTTCAATAGGTTTGAGGTGAGGTATGAGAATCTGTGTTTTGTAAAACCTCTCTAAGGGATGCCTATGTGCAGCCAGGTTTAGACTCATGGTATCAATGAAATCCTTCCCTTCTGTGAAGAAGCAGTATGAACAGGAGTGGGCTGGGACCCGGGGCTCTCTCCAGCCACCAGCAGGCACCCAGGACCTGGGCTTCCCTCACAAACCTGGCTTCATCCAGAAGGTTGTCCAGAAGGATGTCCAGTCTAATTAGCATATTATGCTTTTATTATTATAGAAGCCAGTCTTGACTTGTAACTTTATTTCATAACCCAATGGATCACAGACCACAGTTTAAAAACCTCTGCTCTAGACCCAAGCCCTTGAACTAGAATATCATGCACACTTTGCACCCAACCAGATAACTGTGAGACAGAGTCACTGTATATCAACACTTCCTGCTTCATGAATACACTATTGGCCTGGTGCATGGAAATTTGTGCACTCGGGTGGGTCCCTCAGCCAGGCCTGTGCCCTCTTGCAGTCTGGGAGCCCGCAGGGGATGTCTGACTACGGCCCTGGCCTTCCTCTGCGGGAGGCGGCCCACATGCCAATCAGGATGGCGCTGGTGGCAAGCAGCCAGCCATGAAATACTACGCAGCTACTTTAAATCTGAGAAATGGCCTAGGTTTAACGCTCCTCAGAAAAGCGAGTTGGAGAAAAACATGTACAGTATAATCCCATTTTTATTTAAAAAGAAAAGAACACATTGTATTTGGGAGAAATTACTTATAGGCGTTCATAGGAGGTTGGTCAAAAATATAGACAGATATGTACTAAGTGATTACTATTCATTGCTGAAGTGACATGGCTGTAAAGGTTGTCAAAGGAGATGAAGGGTCAATAATTGGCTATTTCATTGTACAGGAGTGGGCAAAAGTAGGTTTATAATTGTTTGTATGGAAAATGACATGCAGGTTTTGATTATTATAATAATAGCTTTATTAACTCAAAAGAACGTCACAACTCTGAGTGAGTGACCATGGACAAATCGCATAACAAAACTCCACCTCAGTTTTCCTCCCTGAAAAACAAAAGATTTGGAATAGCAAATAATTCAGATCACTCACAGTTCTAAAATAACATGATTGTGGTGCTTAGTTAAGTGAGATCTTTAAGGAAAAATTAGCTCAAGGGAAACACATCCCATCTCAGTATTGAAATATTGTGAAAAGTTGTCAGTTCTAAATTGGTTCCTTACATAGAATTTCCTTTTCTTTTTTACGATCTTTTTTGCAATACACTCTTTAAGCTCACAGATATGGCATATTTTCAAAGAATTCTTATAAATACAAATGCCAGAATCTGTTTTACATAAGTCAAACAAAATAGCAATGGTACAATGTACCAACATTACCAAGTATGTATGATTTACACAGGGTCTAAGAACTTTATTTTGATGTTCTTTAAGTGTTCATGAGCCATGTCCTACTTGATTGGGAATTGTTTCCCCTACTTTGTTCAAGACAGTTTTAGCCCCTATCAGTGCTTCCCTGAGGTAGGATGGTCCTCTGATCACTCAACACTTCAGATAGTTCCTGGCTCATAATAGGTTGGCAAAAAATATTTATTGGATGAATTCATACATTCACAGATAGGCAAAAATCCTTCTCTCTGCCAAAGTTTTCACCAATGGCTCTTCAGCTGTATATTTCTACTGACAATTTAGTCTCCTTAATATTTTAATATAATTTTTGCCCTATAGTTTTTGCATGTGAGTAAATAGGTTTTGGTACCAATTCCAGTGGTGTGGTACAAGTGGGAGGGTCTCCACACCAACAACAAGCAATTCTTGGGACACCAGCTGGGGGTCCTATGATTCAACTCAATCACAACACTATCGACCCTGAATTAGCTAGCATCAGATTCCACGGGTTAAAAGACAGCCCCCCGCCACCCGCCACCCGCCCCCTCACACACGTCAGGTGCCACTAGTCACAAGCCCTGGTTGTCACCTGCACTTCTAAGGACAGGCTATAAATCAGAGGTTCCCACAACCGCCTCCTTGGATTTGATTAACTTGCTAAAGCAGCACACAGAGCTCAGAGAAACAGTTTACCTATTAGATTACTGATTTAAAAAGGATATAACTCAGGAATAGCCAGATGGGAGAGATGCAAGGGGCAAGATATGGAGAAAGAGTGAGGAACACATCACTCTCCCAGCACCTCCTGATATTCACCAATCAGGAAGCTCTCCAAACCTTGTCCTTTTGAATTTTTATGGAGGCCTCATTACTTAGGTTCCACTGATTAAATCATTGGTCACTGGCATTTGATCAACCTCCAACCCCTCTCTTAGATGATGGGGGTGGGGGATACTAAAAGTTACCTCCCTCTAGTCATGTGGTTGGTTCTCCTGGCACCCAGTCCTCAACCTCAGATTATCTAAGGGCTTTCCAATAGTCACCTTATTAACATAACAAAAAGCACCTTTATTGTTCTTAATGCCAAGCCTTTTAGGAGCTCTGTGCCAGGACTTAGGTTGAAGACCAAATGTATATTTATTATAAACTAGAGGTCCAGTGCACAAAATTCATGCATGGGAGTGGGGAGGGGGTCCCCTCAGCCCAGCCTGCACCCTCTCCAATCCGGGACCCCTCGGGGGATGTCGTACATCCCTTTCATAATCCGGGACCGCTGGCTCCTCACTGCTCACCTGCCTGCCTGCCTGATTACCCCTAACTGGCCCCACCCCCGCCAACCTGATCACCCCTAACTGCCTCTGTCTGCCAGCCGGATCGTCCCTAACTGCCTGCCCCCTGCCGGCCTGATTGCCCCACACAACCTCCTGTTCAGTCATTTGGTCATTCCTCACTAAGCCTCCTGCCGGCCTGGTTACCCCATGCAGCCTGCTGTTCAGTCGTTTGGTTGTCCTTCACTAACCCCCCTGCCGGCCTTGTCGCCCCATGTAGCCTGCTGTTGGGTCATTACTGTTACTGTGATGGTGTTCCAGACAATTTGCATATTCCTCTATTATTAATATAGATCACTATGTCACTGTTTAAATCAGTTTAAACCTTTTCTGCCATATTCAACATTAAACTTCAGGAAATGCTCCTTAGCTGTTCTATTACCTACCTGCAAGTGCTGCTTTTCTGCATGACGTCAGCTCGATGATACCCAGAGAGTTTGCAAAAACCGTCATTACTATAAACTACAGGCCAATCCACAATCTGGGCATTTCCCAGTAAGAAACTCGATTCTGAAGAAGAAAGAAAAAAAGGAAGTTTTTAGCTTCATTTATCAATGTACTTCTTTCAAAAAAATCAAAAAAACAAATTCATAAAGATAGACAAATGCTTTTAGCTTCATTTATCAATGTACTTCTTTCAAATAATCAAAAAAAAATTCATAAAGATAGACAAATGTAACTATGGTTTTCTATGGTACAAATAATAAAACCTATTCTTGAAACTGACATAATGAGTTTAGCATGATCATCAAATGAGATCTGCAATAAGTACAAGATCTGTATACAAACTAAAAACTTCACTGAACAGAAAAGCCAGTTTATGGAATACCTCTTTCTATTCAAGTATACTCTAAGCTATGAAAACAAAGTATGGTTAATATTAAAAACGTTAATGACTATAATAATTATACCTAAAAAACAGGTTAATTTATTAAGATTGGGGCTACAGTCACTTCTCCACAAATTGAGAATATTGGACTTGATAACAGAGGCAAACTTGGATTATTCCTCCAAAAATTCTATTAATATAATTTTGGACATGATGGAATAAATTTGATTAATCTTAAAAAGTCTAATTTAAAATAGCATTGAAGAGTTCTTTTTTAAAATAAAATTATTTAAAGATGTTATTTTCAACCATATGGTACACAAAATTTGGAAACTCTCTTTAGTCTAAATAAAGAACCATCTCTGATCTATTTTGCATAAAGAAGTGGTTTTCTTTATGTATAAAAATTAATATAAAAATAATACCTTTTGCTATCAACCTTGATTAAAGGTCCAATAGTCTTAGGCCATAACTTTAGCAATATTAGACTGAATTAAAATTAAATAATATTAAGATATAAAAATGAAAAATATTTTAAAGTAAATATTTTAAAAGATTACAACTTTTAAAAGGAATACTTCACTTCAAAATACTCAAAATATCTACCTGAAATAAACTCTTGTGAACTTATATTCAGAGTAGTGTACTAAAAAGATAAATTAACTTATGAGTAGTGAACTTTAAGTTTAAATTCTGATTCACAGTTCATCTTCATAAAAATCACAATGCAATTCAACATTTACTAAGTAGTTGCTAAGTAAAGGGCACTATTCTGCGTCAGACAATTGGCTAGAATGGAGATCAACACACCATACCCTTTACTCTCAAAACACTTACATATTCAGTAAAACAATTACGTAATAACCAATTACAATTTAGCAGAATAGATGCTAAATCAAGAAGTAAAGGACAAAATATGAAGGGAAATCTGTCTCAAGGCACTGAAAACCAAACAAAGGTAGGCAGAAACTGAAAAATACAAATCCTTGAATAAAAGGAGATGCATTAAATGCGATATTCATTTAATTGTCCATTCCCCTGTGAGCCCTTCCCAATTTGTACAATTCCTGAGTGAGAGATTTCAAGCAGAAAAGTCAAAGGTCATAATTTGGGGCTGTCGGAGCAGCCTAAAGTTAAGGAGAATGCTTTGACATAAAGAGCCATAAATCTATACATGAATTTACCTCAAATTCTCATCTGTTCATACACAGGATAAGACTACTAAGGAACTCAAGTCTAGAAATGACTAGAAGGCTAAGAAGCAGGCAGAAATTTCACAGCCTACCCAAGGCTACAAGACAAATTTCAGAGTTCATTCCTATCAAGCCAGAGAAGCTTTGTAAATTTCTCAAGATTTCCATTTAAGCCACAGAAGGCCATGCTTAGGAGTAGGAAAGAAGTCCCAGGATAAAGGTCTAAGTAAGATAAAAAATATAGACGAGTGAATCTCTCTCTCTCTCTCTCTCTCTCTCTCCTTCCCTCATACACACACACACACACACACACACACAGCTAAAATCATAATCAAGGTGACCCACCAATAATTTAACTACCTGCTACAATAAAATGCACCCCTCTTCAGAGGAAAAATAATTAAATCAAAAATCTCTACAATGTGTCACCCCAACAGCCAGTATACAATTAAAAATTATGAGGCATACAAAAAATAAAAATTAAAAACCAGAGAACTGTGACAACACTCAAGGGGGAAATAAGCAATAGAGTAAAGAGTTGATACTAGAAACAGAAATAATCAGATCCAGGCATCAGTATTTGTTCTGAAACCTTCTCCGGTGGTTCTTCTGCATAGCCTGGGTGGAGAAGCTCTAATTTACTACCGCAACAATTCCTAAATGCTGGCAGCCGCAAGGGAATCTTGAGATGAGCGTCAAAAATACAGATTGCTAAACTCTAATGCAGGCACGCTGAACAGACTCCCTCTGGGTAGAACACAAAAAAATACAGGCACGGAGGAAAGTCTCATGCTCAGCCAGCTTTGGAAAACTTTAATCTAGTACCTTGCTACTCAAAGTGTGGACCTGTATCGCCTGGGAGTTTATCAGCAATACAGAATGTGGGACCCACCCCCATCTGAATTTAGCAAGACCATCAGGTGACCCCAAGCTCATAAATGCACTCATCTTGTGCATCCTTTCCTTCCTTTTTATAAATGGGAAAGCAGGCCAAGGAAGTTAAAGGAAGGACTCAGCGAACTTGGGAAAAGGGTGTGTGATGAGGGAAACACCAGGACCAGGCCTCACTGTCTAAGACTTGGTATTGTATCCCGCTATATTTACCAACTGCTGTCTAAGCTTTTGTTTTGCTATAATATAGAAGAAGCACTTCCTTTTTATGGTACTATTCCTTCAGACAATAAGAAAATAACCACATCAACTCAATACTTCCGCATATTATTTCCATTCCTAAAGGAGATCATATGCAAACTGCTCAATAATTCGGCTGATAGAAATTTCTGGAAGAAGAGAAGTTATATGCAGTCAATGAAAGTCGGTGAATGTCTCTTTCCTGTCTACAACAATTCCCATAAAAGAATGTTTTCCTCTGAGCTGCTCCAAAAATACCGGTATCTGACATGATTTGGACAGTTTTGTGGGTTTATTTTTGTTTTGCTTTTATGAAAACTATGTTCCAATCCAGAAATTTCATGCACATTAACAATGGGGAGGAAGGTTAAATCTTTCTCCTCCTCCCTTTCCCACCCCGTCTTTGTTATGCAAATGGCCCTGGGGATATAATGCAGAACACTAGCACAGAGAAGTTTTAAGATATTTTAAGAAGTGCTAAGACATACAAAAGAATTCTAGAGTGCTGACAAAGAGACATGGAGTGCAGGTGAAGGGAAAGAATAAAACACTTTCTTGCTCATTTAAATTTTTCCCAAGGTCTAGGGCGGCTTCCAAGGAAAGTCAACTGGATTTTCCCACTGACTGTCCTCACTTAGTCCTACTTTGGAAGAGCACCAGCCAGAAATCATCACTCTTATTCCAAAAACCTAAAACCCTGCACGGAGCCCCTCCAGCAGAGGAAAATGGAACCTGGCTTGGGCCTATATCAAGCTGCTCTCCCAGATCCCTGCTCCTCCAAGAGGGACTTGAGGGCAGGTGTTCAAGCTCCAAGTTACCCCAACCTCCACAATCCTCTGATTCAAAAAGCTACAAAACGCACATTCCAAAAATCAAGAAGAGAAATTTGAAGCTTAAAAGCAACACAATAAAATCCAGGTAGCAATAATCACTAACATTTTCTACAAGAGATTGGTGGAAGAGGGTATCTCGACAATGCTGTCAAATATTCATTACAAAGTCAGGTTTTGGTTTGGGATTTTGGTTTTGTTTAACAACTTACTTAGTTTCTCAACTGAATGGGGCTCTTATTAAAATCTGAAGCTACGTTTTCTAATCCACGAGAATAAACTGACTAAGCTAATTGCCTGGCCTGGGATACTCTTTTCTGAATGTCCATAAGTAGAATCACCTCTGTACATGGCCACACTATAAGCTCCCTTGGGTTGCATTCTTTTTTATTTCAAGGGAATGAAAAGGAAGCTATATGACAAAGTGATGATGCAGGTGATCTCCACAAGCATCACTCTAATCTGGCTGTCTTCAGTTCTCCCCCATCTCAGGGAAATCTTCCATACCTCCATCTATCAATTTATCCCCAAATGGTTGAGTCAAAACCCTGAAAGTTATCCTTATTCTCCCTCATTCATGACATCCAATATATCACTAAACCTAATAATTCTGAGAGAGATAGAGAGGAGAGAGGAGAGAAACAGAGAGAGCGAGAGAGAGAGAGAGAGAGAGAGAGAGAGAGAGAGAGAGAGAGAACAAAAACATGTTAGATGCATCCATTTCTCTTCATCTCTACTGCTGCCATCCCAGGCCATGCCACCTTCATCTCTTGCCTGGACTATTGTCATAGTCTCCTAGCTGGTCCCCTATCATCCCTCCTTCTCTCTCCAATCCAACTTGTGGTTACACAACAGGTTACTCTTGTGGTCAGATCTGACCACTGCACTGGGCTATATTGCAAAAGCCTGGCCCTGAATAGCCAGGTCCCTAATTGACACCCACACCCTTACTTCCCATCTTACTCTTCTTTTGTCCACTGCAATCCAACTGTACTGGCCTTTGAGCTTCACAAACTTAACCAGTCACTTTCTCTCTCTCTCCTTGTTAGATGATCAAATCAAATATAAATATGTTCATATGTTTTCTCCTTGCATGAAATCCTCTTCTGCCCGCTTACCATCTAGATACCTCTTACTTTAGGTCTCAATTTGGCACAACTTCCTTAGAAAGACCTTCCCTGACACCATCTCCCACACAAAATTAGTCCCTATTACACTTAATCACAGCACCTTCCCTTCTTTCCTCAAATTGCTTACACGATTTGTAATGATATATTTAAAGTCAATTTTTCAAATGCCTGTCTTCCTACTAGATTCCAAGTTCCATGAGATCAGGGAACATGTCTGTATACCTGCAAATACTTGTTGCATGATCAAATCAAATATTCAGATTCCTATTTAAAGTCACATCACAATGAATAATTATTAGAGCAATGCTAGACATTGTCAGGAATATAAATAAGGACCATGCTAGATATTTTTCTTTGAAGAACTGACAATTCTTCAAAAAAAATAAAATAAAATACA